GATGTGACATGGCAAGATATTTTTTAGCAAATGTTATTTGCTGTCGTCTGTCATTCTTCTGCGTATAACATGGTAAAAGTTATAAAGCTTTTTAGAAAAAAATGCCTCAAAGGATTCTGGGATAATTTTTATCATAATTATAATTTACTTTTATAATTAAACAAGAGTCAATGTATGGACCGTCCGCCGCGACAAAAAGAAGTGGCCGTTGTGGAGAGGTGGCTGTTGGTGGAGGTTCGACTGTAACAAATAATAACTGAGAGGCCGCCATAAAAATAATGCGGATAAGGACGAGAAACCGTTTTTAGTTTACACTGCCTACGAGTGGTCTTTGGTTGGGAGATAAAAGGATTTATCTATCCTAAGCTGCCGCTTACTTCCTTGAAATTCAAGATTCAAGTCGGAACAGCTGTTGTTGCACGAATAATAAAAATTCATGGCGGCCAAGACTAACAGTAAATTTCTTCGTTTTACTTTGTATCGCTCGGCATCAGAATCAGAGACCGCTTTTTATCCTCCTAAGAGCCTCATTCGTTGAGCCTCATTTTGTTGGTACCTGAGTTTTCTCAGTGTAAAGGAGACCGGTCTTCAAACAGTGCTTTTTTTGCTCCCTGCGACCGGGGGAGGCTTCAGAGGCTCCCTTCTATAACTTCGAAACCGCTCATGATAAGACATCTTCCACCATGTTACCTGACCCCTCCTAAACTAGGCAAATCATTTGTGGAGACCTGTATTGCACAGCTGATGCGTGAGTAGTATAGGGCGCACCGGTTACTCCTCTTTTTTGCGCAGGAATCTCATTAGCGTGCGCAGGAATACATTAACTAGGTGACGTCATAGGCTATTGTCTTGATATCATTAACTTACGGTTGAATCTCATTAAGTATATCCAGTTTGACGGGTTTATCAATGATGTCATGTTCTATTTTTATCTTGGGGCGGTCATGGTCGGTATAACCGGTTTGACAGGTTTTAGTTATTTTCGGAAGATGATGTCATATGTATTCCGGGATACTATGATGTCAAAATAGTTTTGATTGGTTGACCGGAATTAGAAAGACGCTCATTGGCTTTCTCGTTTGACGAAGCATTCTGGTTGGTTGCCGCATTTTTGATTGTTTGAACGGCATAAAAGCCCGCTCACTGCCTTCCCGCATACTAATTTGGATTTCTTGCATACTAATTTGGATTTCCTGCATACTAATTAAGTGTCTTCCTCCATATATAATGAAGTGGATAGGTTTACTAATGAGCGTCACTCTACTACAATAGGAACAATAGGCTTGCCTAGACTTGCCCGGGCTCTTTTAACCCTGACTGGATAGTAAACAATCTATTATGTGTTTAACATAAAAGCGGGCTCTCTGTTCAACATATTACTCTTGCCAATCACCAATATTTTTTAAAACATTGCTCCAAACATGCNATTTCTTGCATACTAATTTGGATTTCCTGCATACTAATTAAGTGTCTTCCTCCATATATAATGAAGTGGATAGGTTTACTAATGAGCGTCACTCTACTACAATAGGAACAATAGGCTTGCCTAGACTTGCCCGGGCTCTTTTAACCCTGACTGGATAGTAAACAATCTATTATGTGTTTAACATAAAAGCGGGCTCTCTGTTCAACATATTACTCTTGCCAATCACCAATATTTTTTAAAACATTGCTCCAAACATGCAAGTCGAATCGAGCTGTAAACTCTTTATTTCAAGTTTGTCTGACTAGTACAGAACTGTTTTCTCCTTTCTATCTCGAGGATATGAAAAACTATTGAAGTCTTGTCATTTTCACGCACGGTTAATCAGTTAATTATGCGAGTTCACAAGCCCAAAGTTGAATACAAATTAGCTCTACAGCTAGACCCAAGGGAGCAACCTTGACGTATTATTATAAAACAAATAACTTAACAAGGATCAATTAAAACACGCAACTCATAATTGCTAGCAATAAAACCACAAGAGAGATACCGTTTTAAAAACTTTATTAAAAGTCAATAACAAAAAGAGTAAAATACACAGCGATTTGAAAGGAAAAGGAATGAAAATTAATCCTTTGACCGACTATTGCAAATCAGTTTTTTCCGTTCCATTGCGAGGAATAATAAATAATCCTTCCGTGTCTACACAATTTTCCTATGGCGTCGAAGCCAAGAGTTCGACTTTCTTTGTTTCTTGCGTTTTGTCTTGTACTTTGTAGTCGGTCTTTTAGCTTTTGCTTCAAAAGAGGCTTCATTTCTTCAGGATCTTGACAGTTCGTATACCGTTTCTTGTGTCTGTATTGGATTGCGAATACTAGTTGAGTGATTTTTTCCGGAATTATCCGCTTCACTTTCGTAAACGACGACATTAACTTTAGGTTGCAGTTTCACCTCTTGTAAATACTGTCTTCGCTGTATGTGGTCTAACTGATGAACATCCGCGAGATGGTTAGCTAATCTGACAAGGTACTTCTCCCCACACGATGAAATAGGACAGTTTCTGCAAACTCTCTTGTAAACCAGGTTGACAGTTCGATGGATGAACACAAATGACATCTTTTTCGCAAATAGTCAGGTTATATAGAGTGTCAGAAAGGCCAAACACAGGCCAGAAAGGCCATAACCAGGCCTGAAAGGCCAAAACCAGGACGAAAGGGACAAAAGGAGACAAACGGGCCATTTCTAGTCATGTATCTTTATTTTCTCAAACACACGCGTGGGTGTCGCGCGTCGCTAGTCACGCAAAAGCTCTCAACATTGGAATCAACATCTTATCAGTGTAATCACAAATAACAGTGCCTAACTAAAAACGTTTTGATCGTAAATTAGTAATTGGTATTTCAAATTTCAGATTTTTTTTATTTATTGTATCAGTTTACTATAATTGTTACTATTTTCAAGTCAGCAACAAAACACTCTTAAAGTTTGGTTGTTTACCGGTTTTATTGAAACGCAACAATACAAAGGTCTAGGAAAAAAAATTCTATAACATTCAAAAGGATGAAAAAGGTGCTTAAGCGAATGCGAAATCGTACTGATTTTCGAGCAAAACATGAAAACGAGGTCGAAACACAGAGGTCACCCATCCAAGGACGAACCCCACACGACAGGACTTAACTTCGGTCATCGGAGTGCGATTACCCTAAATGTTTGTCACAACAAATCTATTTGCGACACGAAATTTATCGTTTATTTTCGAGGGCACAACGGGCACCAAGGGCATAAAGGGCAGAAATTGAGTATTTTTTTTTCTTAGACACACGCGAGAAGGTCGCGTGGGGAAGTTGTTCGTGGGAACGCACTCTCGCATTAAGTCGGAGAATTACAAGAAACGCGTTTTTTTATAAAGTGTTTTATTTATGAATCACACACGTTACAATTTTTGATACTCATTTTTTTAAATACAGCAATCAATTTACAACACCATTTTATATATCTAGAGGCATAGTGGTAACTCCATCCTCCAACACTTTTCTTTTCAAGTAAAAGTAGGAAACCCCATCTCGAACTTGTTCATAAGTATACATGCTATTGTTGACTACCCGAAAAGAAAAGTGTTGGAGGATGGAGTTACCACTATGCCTCTAGATATATAAAATGGTGTTGTAAATTGATTGCTGTATTAAAAAAAAAAAATGAGTATCAAAAATTGTAACGTGTGTGATTCATGAATAAAACACTTTATAAAAAAACGCGTTTCTTGTAATTCTCCGACTTAAGGCGCCAGTGCGTACCCACGCACAACTTCCCGTTTTGTTTCTGAATGAAAGAGGCAGGTTGCGATTGAACAGACACGATTTCTTAGTACTTTATTTTTGTGTAGCGAATTTAAGCCGAGAAAAGGTTTCTAGTTTGTTATCAGTAGCATTTTTATAAGGTTTGATTTAAAACACTGAAAACCGACCGGATTAGGTTGAACACGCCAGAGTGCGATTTGTGTCAGAAGAAAAAATCGAGCTCATTTTATAACTGGGTTGTGCCACAGGCAGCCAAAGTAACAACAGAGAACAAATGAACGAGCACTGATCACTAGTGCTCACCTACAAAGACAAAAAATTCACACTTCACAAGGGCTATAAGGACATCTTCTTCTCTGTCTCCTGAATCCTCTCCCCCCCCCCCCCCCCCCCCCCCCCCCCCC